TGTTCAGAAACAGATTTCTAGAACTTTTTCATCTTGCAAATCTGAAAATCTGTACCCATTAAGCAACAACTCCCATTTCCCCCTCCCGCCAGCCCCAGGTAACTACTATTCCACTTGGCTTCTTTGCCTGCTTCTGATACTTTATGTAAATGGAATCATACTTCAAAAATGGGACGGTAAGACTGGCAATGACAGAATTGGGAAAAATATACCAAAGAAATTAAAAAATTAACCTGGTAAAGGAAAGACACATATCAGACACACCAAGCAAGTTAAACTTCGAGTAACACTGATTTTTAAGAAGTGAGTCATAAAAGATGCGTCAATGAAAGAGACGAAGAAAAATGACCAGCAAGACAAGTAGGACTAGAAAAGTATAAAGATTCAGAAAGGTGCTACAACAATGTATTAATCCAGTAAAATAAAAACTGTGAACACATGGGTGAGTTTGGAAATTAGGAGAACTGGCAATCTTGGCAAAAACAATTTCAATTGAATATGAACAAAGTTTGATCTTCCTAGGTTAAAGAGGAACTAAGATTTTGAGAAGTTTGAATGAGAAAAATAAGAGAGTGAATAATCTAGAGGAGAGGTTAAGGGAAGATGGATACTGAATTATAGGATTCTCAGAATCATATTTATAGGTTGAGGACAAAGTTAAGACAGAGAGACAGCAACTTCTTAGGTATATCACTATAGTTCCCACATAAACCCCATACTTTTTAACTTGGAGCCACTCACTGTTACTACAGGGGAAAAAAAAATCTCAACATACCTGGCCATGTGTTTACCTTTAGTAAACTGCACAAGTTGGTTTCCCGTTAAGTGCCCACACATCATCTAATTCATCATGTGATCACACTGCTAAGTGCTACACCGAGATTGGCAAAAAATATAGAACTTTTACTTCATTTCTTCATAGAAAGTAACTGATTAACATAGAGGTTAACTGTTTTTAGTATTTCTTATACAATGAGATAACAGCTGATTTAGTAACTACCTGCTTCCCTGTGATTTTCTCAGATGGTTCACAGAGTTCTATGGGAAAATAGCTATCATGCTTGGGGTAAAAGTAAAAGAACTGGATTCTGCCAAGTGAGAAAGAGGAAAAAACATTTCAGGAAAAAGAGTCTGTCATCTATCTAGCACTTTCTTGAGAGAATATTTGTCTTAGTAATATTATATCATATCCACAGCAAGTAAGATAGCACCTAGCACAGCAGCCACTCAAATGTTTGCAGAACTAAAGATGAGATAATCCATACAATGATTTTTAGTTTCTAAAAGGGGCGGATAAGGAGTACTGCATGGTCAAAACGTTTGGGGATGATGAGAGCATGGCTTGAAGGGTGTGCTTGGATGTGTACAAAAGGTCTTATATTCCATAACTAGGATTTAAAATCGGTCATCAAAGGTTTTTAAACAGGGAGGTGACGCATTCAGATTTACTCTAGAAAAGTACTTCTGGTGACAGCAAAGACAATGAATTGGATAAAACAAGGGAGAACACAGGTTAAAACACTGCTACAAAAGAGAGATAAGGGGCTGAACTGCAGTTGTGGCAATGGGATAAGAGGGAAGGTATCATCTGCCTTGAGAAAACCCAGGAGCAAAACCAACAGGAATGGTGATTACTGATGATTAAACCAGAGTGAGAGCACCAGAACTGTAACGGCTGTGGAATGCAGGTGAAGAAAAGAGATAATTAGCTTAGCCAGGGACATGCTGGTGAGGTGCACGTACCACTGCCAGGTAGTACAGTTAGAAAGCAAACATTCAGAGAGAGTCACTGCCAGGTACAGGGGCCTACTGAGCTACAGCATTTAACACATTGATAATACGTATTTCCTCATGAACCTGCTTCCTGTCCCACTGATAATAAGATTTTATTCATTTTTCACATCACCAGAGCATAAGAAATGTTTAAAACTCAAGTGTATCATTTCCAAATTTCAACTCTGCGCTGTACTTAGATCAAAATAAAGCCACAGGAAGTAATCTCAAAGTAACCACCAAAACAACTACAATAACCTCATAAAAGTATTACTGAAGAAAAAACGAGTTAAGAAAAAAAGTTAAGCCTGTAAAACGGAAGCCAAAGTTCAACATGAAACCCAACAAAGGCATATACAAAGTTACAGAAGCAAGAATTATACAGTTGTGAATTCCCTTGTCATATTCGTTAAAATGTATTCTTAAAGTGTCTTTAATTAAAACACGTAATTTTAATTAAAAGTTCCCTGTGAATGTTGGTTTAACTTTTCTGGTATTCATGGGGATTAACCATCATATAAGGCAGATATGGAATCCAGATCTGACACTAAAAAAAAAACAGAAATGAAAAATAAACTTGCAATTTTTACAACAGTAAGAATGAACTTGATAAACTATGCACATCTTAATCTACAATATAGACTTTCATATGATTAATTTCATAATAATGTACTTTGAGTAAAATAAAACATTTTTGTCGAAAGACATCCCATTAACAGATTTTTCAACAACAAAAACCAAATGGCCCAAGATATTGGGATAATTCAGAAAATATGTGGGCAAAATCTCTTCTCTATTAAAATAAAATACCAGTGAAAATACTTCTGTGCCATTCTAGGTCACATCTGGGATGAAGCAAGACAATTATTTCAGCGCTTTCCTATTACACATTAGTTTAAGAAATGCCCCATGAAAACGGTAAGTTCTGGCACTTAGATATTTCTGGAGTATGAAAATTATTCAGTTCATGAAGAAGACACTGTACCTCTCTTTGAGGACTAATTGTTTTCTTGGCAGGGTACTGTGTTATCCAATGTGTTAAAAGAATGCTGTCTTAAACAATGAATTCTAAATTATCCTATTACATAAATCTGATCATTTCAGATTGCAAGAGTGAGAAGGACAGCTCAGGCATTTTGCAATGACACTTGGTTCCCATTCTCTTGAAGAATACCAGTGTAGCACATCTATCGTAATATTGATTATAAAGTACTTCCTATCACATTGAATTGAAATAAATAGAGCCTCCCAAGTGTGTACAAACACCAAACCACTTTCCTTTCTTCTGTCAATCTAAAAAGCAGTATGGCTCTATTATAAGAAATAACTTTTGGTTTCCTTCTGTAGAAAGGCTGTGAAAATAAATTATATATATTCCACAGATACTTAACTTTCATAAAATTTTGCCAAAACTAAGAAGTACTTGTTTCTGAATATCCTACAAAACAGTTAAGTTTATACATAGTAACTATCTTAATAGTGCCAATAGTGGAATTAAGATAAAAATAATACAAAAATTTTGTGAACATTAAGGTATGTCATACATGAACTCTTATCAAAAAGCATAGGATGATTAAGCTGGAATTTTTAAGCATTCCTTCAAGCAATGTGACATTTGTCTACATTAGGCTTTTAACCTTGAGTCTATGTTATTTTAGGATATCTTACCAGCTACTAGATTCATTTTGTCAATTCAATATGGAGTCTCAAAATCATATATATTCTTTTCCTGCAACTGTCAAAGAGAAATCAAGTTCCTGTTCTTTTTCCAGATAGTTAAGATTACATCTATTCCACAAGGTGCAGCGCATGCCACAGTAAAAGGGTAAAATCATACTGATGTAGAGTGAATCTAATTTTTGAATTTTGGGTGTTAATGATTTAAACCTTTGTGCTCAGCATGGAAAAATTAAATCTTTTAAAATTAGTTCATAATCACTGAAAAGGCCCCATCTGGCAATAATGAAGACAAACTAACAATAAAATTTCAAAAATATGGCAATATGATCAAGCCAAAACCCATGATATTACTTCTCTGTACTTAGTCACTGGTGGTCCAAGGAAGGATCAGCATCCTGTCTTGGACTCTGGCATCTAAATTAAAGCAGGAAAATCGACTGCAATCTGGGTTCCAGGCTTCTGGCTTACAAACAACAAAGCTCTAAACTCACTAAAAGCAGAAAGACTTTACCCCCAACATATTCTTTAAGAAGAATCTGCTTTTTGAATAGCTGCTTTCAGTTTAGTTCAAAGAAAAGACAATGGCATAAATTCACACCTTCAAGGTCAGTTAATTTTTAAAGCTTATTGTGCTGTATTAACTCCTTTTGTGCCAATTTATCTTGAGCAAGGGAGTTTTTCTTTAAACTACACATAAGAACTAGAATTTACTAAAGAAGAAAAAACAGTTTTAGAATAGAAATTATTAAACTGAATTTTTTTTCCATTCAATTATTTTGAATTGTGTCATCTAGTTTTGAAAATATGGTTACATTCATTTTTCTGTGTAGATATGTCTGTCATATAAATTACATGTTTAACTAGTACTGTTTTAAAAACAAATGTTTTAAATCATTTTATGTGCACAAGTAACAGATTTGCTACTTAGTTTTTAACGAAACCTTGATGAACAAAGAAAGTATTTTGGTAATTGTTAAAGAATGTTGAAAAATAGCTTAGCAGTACCAGTTATATACAAACTACTCTTCAGCAGAAAATCAATAAAAACAGAAAGCAATTCCAGCAGCATCTCATTAGAACCTGGAACAGTGCGTGAAAGTCCACCTCTGCTATAGCCATTTTAGCTATAGACGTACAATAAACCACTCGCTTGTAAGACAAGAGGCGGCAAATGTGAAACTACTTGGATAAGCATAAGGCATTAGACCACACAGGCATTATTATAATCAAAGAAACATGAATTGAGCAGTGATTTAAGGAATGGCAGTTGTACTATATTATACTGGATCATAACTTTGTGCATGGATTTAGAAATGAATAAATGTACCTTCAATCTCTGTAGCGCCTTCCTGTTTTCAGTTGTGCTTTCACACGCACAATCTGCTTTGAACCTATAACAGTCCTAGGAGGTAGAAAGAACAGTCATTTTTGTTCATACTTTAATGGGCTAAATATAATTCCCATCAATTTGAGATGTGATAATGTGAACTAATTAAGCCTAAAATGTGTGGAAAATAAAATTGTTATTGTACAAATGGGGCTTGGCATCAAATTGACACATTTTATTAAATATAATGTGCAAAATATAATGAAATAACCTCTATTTAAAAAATTGTACAAGGCAGGTATTATTTCAAATGCTTTAGTAACTCATTTTCAATAAAAAGAAATCTGGCATTATAAAAATACATAAAATAATCATGATTTATGTCATTAATTTACATAAGATACTTTTTTGCATAAAACAAAGTTATAAAATAGTTTTAAAAGGTATTCTTATATGAGCATTATTCCCAGTATAAAAATTTTCATAACTTTTTGTAATTTTGGTTCATCTGTATAAATAAAGCATTTTTATCCTTTTAAAATTCACAACTCCATTTTAAAAACATAAGATTCTCTCTCTTTTAAATAAAAGTTCACTTGAGGTAGTATGTTAAGGTTTTCCTTTGGTCTCATTCAGTCTATGTATTCAAGTCGTAAGACTGAAAATTTGGAGTCCTGTAGTTTTCTAAAGTCTGTTTAAAGGTACAAATGTGATTTTCTTCTTGAAAATCTGTCCTTTCTTTCCCTTCTTCCTCTGACCCAGAGTCCAAGTCTGGGGAAGAATGAGCTTTCAAATAAGAGGCTCTTGGCTGACAATCTGATGGCTGTCCAAAGCTTGCATAGGCATCTAGGTGAGGTCTCCTGAGAGCTTTTCCAAATGTACCTGAAAGAAAGAAAAACCTTGAGCACATGGGTCTCTTTGGTAGCATGTGAATCAATAAAGCCAACTGCAAATGAAGAAACATCTTACTCCATGAATATGAATAAATGTTTTCTACAAGTCCACATTATGGTACTCACATACATGTGAATCTGTGTTAGATAGATCACTTCCAGAATGGAGCAAAGGACATTTGCCCTCCCTCATATTTACATTCCCTGAACAAATGCATCTATTCTTTATCATATCTGATGACCTGTAGTAATGTTAGTGGTCATGCAATAAAGTTCCCTACGTTTCCCAATATAAGTTTCCCCATATCCTAGCTGGAAAGCCCACAGACTTTGGTGAAGGGTACGGTATGCTGGACAGTACGATCCAAGCTAACTGGGCCTGAATATAGAAATTTTCTTTCAAAATAAACCTATGTCTTGCCCTTTCTTTATTAATTGTAGCAAAATATTACTCAATTGAATCAAATTCTTGCCAGTCATACAAAACATATTATTTTCGTTTTTCCTAAAAAGGAATATAAATAATTATACTGTGATAAAACATTTCTTAGAAGAAAATATTTGAAAATTCTTTTTTTTTTTTTTTTGTCAACGTGGCAAGTTGTAGCTGATTTTCCCATCTCCCTCTGCTCAGTGAAAAGATGACCTCAGCTCTTCCATCCCATTGTCCCCATGCATCAGACCAAAAAATCCACAACCTAATCTCGGTGCCAGCCAGCATCTAACACCACCGACTTGGGCCTTAAGGCTGGTTTTCTTTGCCAAAGGTAGTCTAGCTTGTCGGACTAGCAGTTGTTGCTAGGTAGGATGTTGTTTTCCACCCTTCGACTGCGGGTTCAGTTGGAAGCCACCAGACGTACCAAACCACAATCATGCAGAGCACACAACTCCACCCCAAAGGCCGTGGGAGCCTGAAACCACTTTTTCCACATGGCTGACAAGCTGAGCTCCTAAGTCATCCCCAAACTCTTGTCTTGAAGTAGATGCCACACACAGTGCTACCCAGAAAGCTCCTGAGGCTTAGTTACAAATTAAACACATCATCAAGTAAAATCCCATTTCAGACTTTGCTTTTGGAAGCCTTTACGCTAACTAGTAGGATGTCATGGCAGCACCATGGAAGTAGCCATTTTTTACCAGTTTGACATTCAAAGCTCTCACTGATCTCTCACACACAACTTAAAGAGTATGGATCCTCAAATGAGGTACCTGATAACCTAATAAACTTACCCATGAAAGAGTTACTCGAGGCAACTGACGCTGGCTCTGGATTTGCACTAAAATCTAAAGAGGACTTGTTTAGACACAGATTTTTCATTCCAGGTTCTTCGTTTTGAGAGTAACTAGTGTTAAGCAGCTTCCTCGCATGTGAAGGCCATGCGACATTGCTGAAGCTCCGTTCGCAGGACTCTTCTGAAGGATGAGAACATGGGTAGCACTCCGTTTTCTTTATATAACCGGGCTCACAGTGGTCCATTAAAGCTGTTCTTGGGTCAGGACTGCAACCTTTTTAATTTGGGGGTAGTAACAGAAGGAGATGACAGTTAGCACATCTAGAAGTCTCTCTATGAAAGAGAACCATACTCAGGCAAGAAAACCACCTACCTGTATAATACATTTCAAAAGGATCTGAGCCATACACATTTCCCTTCAAATACACAGGGCCTGTGGATCCCAAAAAGGGACAAAGGAACGGATCTGTGGTGGCAGCTTCCACATCAGCTTCACTGCTATTATCAATATGGCAGGTCCCTTTAAAACAAAAATCTTAGTCACTGATCCAAGTATTCAAGTGCCATTCACATTCTCCCCAGTTTTGGCTTTTTTTATATGTATAGATGAAAGTTTGACTAGAACATCACATAGACGAAAAAAAATGTGCAGAAATTTACAGTAAGGTTTTAAAAAAATGTATGAGAAGACTCGATTACCCACTGTGCTAGGTGTGCCGGCCTTATTGCTCACTCAGGTTTATAAGGGAATCACTAGTGTGTGGATCCTCCAGCCAAAGCAGCCATGGTCTGAATTACATACCATCAGCACTGACCCCTTCTTACAAAAGGTCCTGAATGACCAGAACCAGGACTGGCACTTGGCCAATGACCTCTTAATGCCCATCTCAAAGATAAGCTCAGCTAAACATATCATCTCATGGGTGTTTGAACCAAACAACACAGAATGATACGCCATTTACTTCTGGACATGGCAGGTGAAGAATAAGTGATATCATCAGGGTTAGAGATGTCATGAGGATCATATGCCTAGAAAGCAGAAACTGGGCAGTGAAAGGTGGTGGTCTGAGAGAAAAGCAAATATACAGAACGTGATGCAGTAATGCTGGCGGCCCAGAGCTGCTCTGGGTGCAGCCTCATCTAGGCAGCCTGGCACTATTATGCCCCAGTTCTGTCTTTTTAGGTGTTCCTTAAGTGTCTTTTCAGTTAATCCCATTATAGTTTAAGGAGCTTGGGTCTCTACTCTTTGCCATTAAATGGTTCTAACCAGAATACTCATGTCTATGCTCAGATCTTCTAACTCTACACCCTCTATCACTACCTTGCCAAGCACTTATAGTTGATCTCACCACTGACTAAACTGTGAAATTGAAAACAAATATACTTTTCTTCCCACTACAATGTCTGGCACAGAGCATATAATAAATACTTAAGGGAAAAGTTGGTCATATATTTTAGAATAATATTGATGGCTTCCACTTGCTGAGCCCTTAATATGTGCCTAGCACCACAGAGTTTTCCATTTTCATTTCATTTGTACGACTACCTCATTGGAAAGTCCTGTAAATGCCCCACAGCACACGGAGCAAGAAATAGGAGTTGGTCTTGTACCAAACCTGTGCTCCTGTGTTATGCTGTCTCATTATTATTCTCAGAATCATGCAGCATTTAAAGCAAGGGTCAGAATTAGACCTCTGAAAGAGGCTGGGTGCGGTGGCTCATGCCTGTAATCCCAGCACTTTGGGAGGCCAAGGTGGGTAGATCACCTGAGGTCAGGGGTTCAAGATGAGCCTGGCCAACACGGCAAAACCCCATCTCTACTAAAAATAAAAAATTAAAATTAAAAAAAAATTAGCCAGGCATGGTGGCACATGGCTGCAATCCCAGTTACTCTGGAGGCTGAGGCAGAAGAATGGCTTGAACCCAGGAAGCAGAGGTTGCAGTGAGCGAAGACCGCATCACTGCACTCCAGCCTGGGTGACAGAGTGAAACTTCATCTCTAAAAATAAGAAAAATGAATAAATAAAATAAAAATAAATTTTAAAAATAGACTTCTCAAAGAGAATAATGCAAACCATTCGACTTTAAAGCCCACTCATGTAACCAGTTAATATCACTTAAGGAAGGAGAACATTCAGGGCCAAAGAACATTAATAACGTAAAGAAAATACTAGATTGCATGGAATAATTAAATTTCTCTAAACCTACTAGTCTTTTTTTAATTGCCAGAAACAAAGATTTTTTTTTTCCTAGTATTTAAGAGAAGGGTCTAGAACTATACAATTTCACCATTGCTAGTGATCTTGGGCCAGGTCCTAAATGTCAGTGTAAATCATGCCTTGTGAAAATGAGTATCATATTTGAGCCCTCCATTATAAGACTACAAAACAATTACAGCCCACGTTCATCTTAAACACATACCACTACTGTCATGCTGTGGTAAGAAAAATCCAGCACCTGAAGATGTGACAAACTGGTGGTGGCTTCCACTTTCTGAAGAGATGTACCCATCCTGCCTGTCAGCTAATGTTCCCTGAGATGACAAATAACTAGGAATATCTGCTGGCAAGTTGGTCTCATCTGTAAGAAACAGGAGCATGTTATTAACCAAGAATGACCATAATTGTCCCACAGGCATCCCATAGGCATAGACTATTTTGGTTTCTGTATACATCAAATTAGGGGAGATCAACCCTGGCAAAACCATCTTGATTGTACAGTATTCTGGAAAGGCAATTAGGGCTTTGCTCCTCTGGGAAGTATAATCTGATTTTTTATTTTATCACCCTCTGGATGCACCTCACAAATTTCAAAACAACAAATGTTTTTAAAGGTTTTTTTTAAAAGATGAAGGCTTAAGAATTTTCATGGGACAGTATGTAAGCTCTCAAATTAAGCTTGATTATTGCCATATTCCGTTTAATATTAATCAATATCTGACTTTGCACATACGAATCAAGTCACAGCTCCTCTTATCCACTGATAACTAAAATCCCACCTAACTCCATGCACATCTGCATACACAACAAGACACACAACCACTGCAGAGAGGAAACCTCATCATTAAGGGGCTGTTCCTGGTTCTCCATCACTATCTTATGAAGGAATTAGAAATAATTTCATCAGTGACTTGGATTTTATCTTATAGCCACAGGATATTCTGATGTCATTTTAACAAAAAGTATTAATCTTCAAACATCAGCTTTATTTGGGGCTCGAGTGTTATTTTTAGCAAACCGTATTTCTGCAGCTTGAAACAAATGAGTCACCCTTCTGAGATGAACTCAGACTGCAAGACACACCTTCTAGAAGTATTTGCAGAACCACAAATACACACGACTCCCGTGACCTGTTGCCAAGCTTCTATTTACACACCTGTGTTGGTAATGCTGCAATCTTCATTCCTCCGCCTTGTGTGGTATATGATGACCACCCACACGAGTGATGTGCCCACCACACAGCAAACCACAGCTATGATCACGACACCCACAGTAGCCCATCCATCATCATCTAACGACGGGGCAGTCAACTGAGGGGAGTCGCAGGTTGGAGTGGGGATCACACTGAGGCGCACGCTTCCTCTCTCAGTGCCAAGGGTGTTGGACATCTCACACGTGTACTTCCCAGCATCGCTGACATCCGAGTCCACAATAATCAGAAGCTGATTGCCTGCTGCAAAAAAGTGCCTCTCGGTTACCAGCAAAGGGCTATCATCTTTGGTCCAGTTCAGTCTGGGGGGAGGGCTTCCTCCAGCAATGCACTGTAGGACGGCCGTTTCTCCCTTGGTTACAGTTCGGTCCAAGAGAGGCCGCAAAAATGATGGCGTTTCTGAAATAACAAGTTATGCTTTTAATTTCCCAAATAAAATTTAGTTTCCAAATCATAAAATGTAGCATTTAAATTTATTCAAATTGCAACCTAAAATTTTATTCTCCCACAACTTACTGGACATGCCTTTTTAAGAGCCTAAACATACACAACATTCACTATTTCACTATTCTGCTTTTACTCATAACGCCAGTTAAGTATATAATAGTTACTATTTTTAAAATTTCAACTTCCCTCACTTTTGCAAAAGTTGGGAAGCTGGTGGGGGTGGGGGCTGGCGGAGAGTGGGAAATAAAACCTTTTTTAAACACAGAAAGTATAAAAATAATTTCAAGCAGAAGGGTATGTTGATGAATAAAAAAATCAGAATCCTTAAGTTTTTTAAATGAAATACTTTAGGGCCAGATGCCTAGGCCTATACTAAAACTCAGACAATAATTTACTTTATTTAGTATCTTAATAGGTTACTTTAATTAGCTCTTTTGAAGATACACACATAATAATTGTGTTTACATTTTTAAAAAGCATTTGTTTAGGTAAAAGATGAAAAAGAACTTTGACTTCCAGAGAGGTATGGTAGGCCGAGAAAAAAGAATAAGGCCTTCCTAAGTTGTTCCTACATTTTTTTTTTTTGAGATGGAGTCTCGCTCTGTTGCCCAGGCTGGAGTGCAGTGGCAATCTCAGCTCACTGTAACTTCTGCCTCCCAGGTTCAAGTGATTCTCCTGCCTCAGCCTTCTGAGTAACCAGGACTACAGGTGCATGCCACCACACCCAGCTAACTTTTGTATTTTTAGTAGAGACGGCGTTTCACCATGTTGGCCAGGATCTCTGATCTTGTGATCCACCCGCCTCAGCCTCCCAAAGTGTTGGATTACAGGTGTGACCACCACGCCCGGCCTCCTACGTTTTTTTATATGTTCTTTATGGTGCTAACACTACTGACATGGACAGCCCAGTGGGTAAATTAGAGGAGGGTAATCCCCTGTAAAAGGGAAAACATCAAAACTTTTACTTGGCCCCTCTCTTTGGAATGGAGGGGACAAGGATTCACCTCACTTGCCAGACTTAAGGATGTCATGCACTCCCTAACTTCAAAGTGTTCAAGAGGCCATTTGCATTAATACTTCCCAGGAAAAGGCAATGCCCCATAGATCTTCATGTCTTATTCTCACAGCTTCTGGCACTTAGGGACCCTGGAGGAGCTAGTATCTTTAAGACTGATTTAGACTATGGAATCTTAACAAATTCACCCACCTAAGACAGTCAGAGTCGCATTTGCAGAAATACTTCCTGCACTGTTCTGAGCTGTGCAGCTGTACACCCCAATGTCCTCTATCTTCACATCCACGATAAAGAACACGTCATCCTCAGGCATCACATGCATGCGTCTCTCCCGTGCAGCTGGGAAGTCTGTGCCCCCATCCTTCTGCCAGGCTATCTGTGGGGCTGGGTGGCCCACAGCAGCACACTCCAAGCGTGCCATGGCCCCAGCTCGTATGGTGAGGTCCATGGGGGTCTTGGTGAATGAGGGAAGCACTGAAATCAGAGAAACAACATAGGCATTAGCACGATGGAGTCTTAGAGGTTCACTTGCATTCCTTTTTATTTTTTTTTGTTTGATGCTTTCAGACTGTCCCTGACATAGATTGGGCAAGGGTTAATTCCAATTTCAAGTCAAGGAAACTAAAGTTGAGATGGAATGATTAAAAGGCTTTCTCAAGGTTACAGATACAGAAACAACGAAGTCAGGATAAAACACAGGTCATCTGATTCTCAGAATGAAGGTCTTTCTGCTATATTCTGCCACTTTTTAGTTTCTTCAATAATGAATTGCGAGATCTTGGGCATATCAATTAATCTCTTTGTACCCTGACCACTTGCTTCATCTATTTTTTTTCTTTTTTCAGATAAACTGGTCATTTATAAGCAGTGGTACTGTTTGGCATAACAGGTTTCCAGTACAGAGGCAAGGGGTCACATGGAGGTGACAGAGCCTGGCTCGGCACAGGACAGCATCTCTCACTTCTTCGCTCCTTCTTGTCATAGTCCCACTTGGAAGCGAGGCCATCGACGGGGTTCACCTTCAGGTCCAGTATCCTCTGGGTCTGCATGGCCACTCACTCATTGTCAAAGGTATGCGGGAGGGGGCCGTACACATAGCACTTCTCCAAGATGATAAGAATTGCTGTAAAGCCGATGAAGAACATGGCAGCACCCACAACCATCTTCCACTCATTGGAGCCCCTGTTCATCTCAGCAAAGCTCTCCTTGAACTGAATACGATACAACTCGACTTTCTCATCCATTGAGAGGCTGCTCCAGAAGGCCTCCTCCTCCTCCTTCAAGGCCTTCTGGCTGGCTGACAGGTGCCTAACATGGGCCACTTCGGGCAAGGGATAGTCTCTTGCCGATCCACGTAACTTGGGAGCGTATAGTCTTCACTCTTCACAACACTTCCGTGTGCTCGTACACACACCGAGGTGGAAATTGCTCGCTTGCCAACTAGGCTAAATACCCTGGTAGCCAACATTCTGCCGTTGCTGCCCGCCATGACTGCCCTCTACACCCGGTGTCCCGCGACCGAAAGAGCATCTATTTTTTTTTTTAAGTACCTGCTGGTAGCTCTAACATTGGGACTTTTAAGATACATGCTTTGTCCTACAATTTAAACTCAAAACTGTTCTTTGTGGCAGGCCACGGCCATCACTTGTTGAGTGAATGCATTAAAGAATCATATTCGAAATCTACCATGGCAGACACAGATAGTTAAATGATCAAGTGGCGAGGATCCTATTGTAAAACTGTATACCTACCACAGAAACAAGAATAGACTTCCATTAACAGTAGCTAACACTGCATTCTACCTTGCAGCCATGTTGCTATATCCTCTACACACATTATTTTACTGAATAAGCATAATGCCTCCGGGGTAAGGACCTATTTTTCCCTAATTGAAAGAGGTGGAACTAGAGGCTGTGACATGAAGTAACCTGCTGAGAATCACGCAGCCACATGCAGGAGTGGCAGGATTCACACACAGATCTCTGAATTAAAGGCAGTGTGCATCCAACATGATGCTTTGCAGCTTCCCAGATCATACAGCACACTGTAAACTCTCAAAGAGCAAAACATGGCTGGGTGCAGTGGCTCACGCCTGTAATCCCAGCACTTTGGAAGGCTGAAGTGAGTGGATCACGAGGTCAGAAGTTCAAGACCAGCCTGACCAACATGGTGAAACCCTGTCTCTACTAAAAATACAAAAAATTAGAAAGATGTGGTGACACATGCCTGTAATCCCAACTACTCAGGAGGCTGAGGCAAGAGACTCACTTGAGTCTGGGAGGCGGAGGTTGCAGTGAGCCGAGATCACACCACTGCACTCCAGCCTGGGTGACAGAGTGAGAATCTGTCTTAAAAAAAAAAGAGCAAAATATGTCTGGTTCATTTCTGTGTTACTCACCACACTGAGTATGGTGTCGTCCTCGATATGATAATTGCAGGTTTAGATACAAATAACCAAGAATCTTAATTTTGTAGAAAGAAAGGTAGGGAAAGTTAGAGTCAGGTGGAGAACTGTGAGGAGAAAGCACAGGGTTAAGATTCAGAGAGAAAAACAGGTGCTTTCTATTTCTAAAAGGTATCTTTAAATGCTAAAGGAAAAGTCAGATCACATACTATTTACTGTAAGCTTGGCTTTGACAGAGTAGGATGAACCAAAGTGATTGGAGATGACACACTGATATTTCCCCTCACTGGCAAATTCCACCTTGCGCAGTCGAAGGATGGTGGTATACTCCATCACCTCGCCACCTTGGGCCCGGAGGTGTGCATAATTTTCCATTTCGGCATCATGTAGTAGTTCATTGTCTTTTTTCCAAGCAAAAGTCATTGGGGAATCACTGCTGCTGGCAGCTGAGCAGATGAAACTCAAATTGGAGCCTTTTATTGCCGACTGTGTTTCTGGCTGAACCGTGATCTGGGGTTTGGGAAAATCATCTGTTCAAAATGGAGAGGAGGAGACAAAACAATGTTAAGGCTCAGGAGTCCAAATACTACTCAAATTTGAACATCAAGAAATGCAGAAACAAACAGCATCTTAGGTTTTACCCTTTGTGTATGTTTTACAGATGGACTAGCAGGCCCTGTGTTGAAATGATACACAGGAAGAGGGTTTATAAAGTAACTCATTCATCTCAAATAGAGACGGATTCCTATTTATCAATCACTATTACCTGAGAAGAGGCTGTTATTTTGGAGCTATCAGAAAACACAGTTTATCCCCGATCCCTTATGCTTTGTATAACAGAAGAAGAGAGCAGTTTAAAAACTTCCAGCCTCATGGATCATTTTCGAATGCTACTACTGTCAGAAACTGCAATTGTTCCCATGTTCTCCTCAAATAAGGAATAGCAACATCAGGAAATCGAACATCAATCATGACTAATCAACAAAGATAGCCATTAACACCCCATTTACCAAAACAGAACCACTATTAAAAAGCAGTAATTTAGGTAAAGCCAATAAGAAAAAAAAAAAGCTGACAGCAAATCATAAAGCATCTCTAAAACAAATGGTAGACATTGGCTTCGGCCTGGAGCTTGGAGTGGTCAATCACGCGGCTGTGCTACCCTGTCAAAGCTACATTATAATTAGAGCTAAGCAACTCTTTCATTCTAAGCAGTTATTTTTAGTTCTCTGTTACTCTTTGGAAAAGTTACCTTTCTGAACTTCAGTTTCTCAGAGATGATCTGAACCCAGAAGGAAACATCTGGGATCTGCCAAAGTGTACTACTGGGGTGCTCTAAGAAAACAACTCTTAAGTGCGTTGAGTGGGTTATGGGGGATGCCTTGATAATCCAGTGCTGCTGTTTTTCAATGCCATATCTGCATACTGTAACTGAAGTGGTTTATTTTCTAAATTATTCTGAAATTCTCATTTAATAAGTCAATGTTCAGATTCACAAGGAAGTGAAAAAAAACTATGGATACTATATATGTGTTTCAAAGTAATAGGGAGTTCCTATTTTGGGACTAAAAAACTATGAAATAAGGACCATGGGAAAGGAGCAGTTTGGGCCCTTACAGACGAATGCCAAAAGCTTATTTGGATCCAAAAGCTACATGAGAAGTTTTATTTCCAGAAACTACTGGCACTGCTTAACGCTGCAACCTTAAAAATATATATCATGGATAAAGCAGTTTTAAGTAAATTCTTAAATGTCAATGCAAAAGAAGGTTAATATTTTAACACACATGCTTAAATATAAGCAAACTCTTGATTTCTTGTTTCATAAACATACTTATTTTTACAGAAGTCTCCATGGCAGCTACTAGTAAATAGCAGTACCATGTAATAGGCAGAAAACTGCACCAGAGATGAAAACTTTTCTTTTAAATCCAGATCTGCTATGAATTAGCTATGTAAAGTTTGGGTAACTAGATTTCTAATGCCGAGATTCTTGGATGCTAAAACAATGGACCTTAAAATTGTTTATAATAAATTCACATTTCCTATTGCTTGTAAATGTTTTACCTACCATTATTTAGCAGCCCATAAATTATTAATAACTTTCTCTTTCATGTGAGCCTCCCAACAATTCTCAGAGTTGGGAAGAGAATAAAAGAGGAGAGTCCCCATTTCCTGGATGCAGAGACTAACATTTAGGGAATTTAAGTTAAGTAGAAGGGCTGGGACTATCCTTCCATTCTGCCAAGATCCAATTTCATTCTGTTTCCACCAAACCATCCTGATGCCAAAACAAAGATGAAGCAATTTTAGAAAATTCTCTTTCCCATCTGTGAAATTAAAATAATCAGCAAACTACAGACCCATTTTCCTCTACCTCAGCACAAATAAAAGCTTTATAAAAAGATCATAAATCTACTCAAAATCATTATTTGGATAAACGGGAGGGAAAAAAGAAGAATAAATAAAAGGCCAGGGCAATACTTATACTCACCACACACAAAGCCATCTGGGCTAACAGCAAAAATGCTTCTTCCTTTTAGCAGCTGAGGATGGGCACAACTGGCATTTACAAAGCTCTGAAAGTTGTTTTCCGCCACCCACTGTGGAAGCCATTTTAGTTGGCAATCACACAAAAGGCTTGATGTATTTAAATGCCTGAGGAGAGTAATTACATTCAATTTGTTCTGTATGAGATGCAGATTTCTACAAGTCAACTAAACCCAAGTAAATATTAACAAAGCAATGAGTTTGGAAACTGAATACACACATCCCATGGAATAAGTATTCTACATTCCATTTTAAAATACAAGGACCTTATCTGGCATGATTTTCTGTTGTTCTTACTGCCCTACTGACACAGAAATGTTAAATTTATCAAAAGTACCTTATAACTGAAAAATTACTACTATATTGAGTCACTGTACTGTATGTGGTCCCACAAAGTTGCGAATTTAAAATAGAAAAAGAAACTCATTACGACAAAAAGAACAAATCAACTCCTTTTTTGTTGTCTAGTATAAAAATTAAGTAATGTTAAGAATGTGCCAGGCACTTTTTACAGATACATAATTGAGGATGACACATCATATGACAGTTTTCCCCTCTATACTTTCAGACTTCGAGAAGGAAAAGAAAAGCTTACAATTGTTGCAGTTTCTTCATTTGTGAAAATGCATTGCCTTGTAAAGACATGATTGCGTTGTCACTCAGGTCTCTGAAAAATCACCAAATCAAATGCATCAGGGCAAACCACCACCATTTTGCGCTCTGGGACAAAGTTTGGGCCCACACTGCCCACCCCATTTGCCAAACAGATACTCCTCTCTATCTATGTGTTAAAATAGAGGATTGAGGCACCCCAGAAGAATCCACTACAAAGCTTGTGATGAAGAACAAGGGCATTTGTATCAGAGACAGGTTCTGTTTTAGTGAAAAAGATTCATTTTCTGTCATCACAAGTTATTTGACTTACTAGAGCCCAAGCTGTTCTATTATTTTATTCTATGATTCTTTATTCAAATTAGTAACTATTAGAAACTTATAAATATACAAATAAAATTTCTCATAATTATGCTTTTAAAAAGCATCATTTATACAGTATTTTTGAAGATAGGCATTCAGTTAAGTGATTTACATATGCTACTGCACTTATTCCTACAACAACCCAAAATACGATGGTATTACTACTCAGCACAAAAGGGAAAGGTCAGAGTTGAAACAATTATTTTCAATTCCAAAACCTATGCTTTTAACCATTAATCTAATTCTGTCATACACAACTCACTAACATAAATGCAGTAAGATGTTTAGACAAGATATACTCGTTAAAACAAACAAATACTTCAGGCAGGAAATTAATAATGAATGTACATTCTGGGCTAATTCTCTTTTTAAAGAGACTTATAAGCAAGCAGTCTGCATTCAAGTATTCACCGTAACGATTACCATACCGTTTTTCTTTACAGGGGTCAGAATATACAAAGGGAATATTGAGTGAGACAAGTGGCAAGAGAAGAAAAAGAAAGAAGGGACCGGACACGGCTAGACAAGGAGGCTCGGGCAATCAAGGAAGATTTACGAAAACTAAAGCAGATATTAATACTCTACTAATCCACTAATTCCATTTTCCCAGAAATGGAATGGGCCAAATGACAAACCCTTTTGGCTAATAGTCGGTTTCAATAAATACTGCAATCTTGGTCTGCTCTTCCAAAACTCAGCTCTGTAGAATCATTCTACTATAATTTGAATTGCCGCACTCACTGTCAGGATGGCTCATAATCCCAGTCTCCCTCAGACTACCTGGTGCAGTGAGACGGTGACGACAAAGTGGTTTACAGACAACAGCTAAATCTTCATTCTCAATATATAGCACACTTGGGAGAACCAAACATGTATTTAAAATTGTAACTTCTCTTCTCCTGGTTAACAGATATTAAAACTTTTGGCTATAAGCATTCCTTAACTGTCAGAGTAGATACTATACATTACGTTGTACTTTTACTTTTTACTGTACAAGTGTAAAACATTCATCCACGGTTTTAATGGGTTGGTTAGTTCCCTTTGTTAAAACATGCACGGTCTGATTCCTATCGAAGTTAGCCAGCTTTCCTCTCTTAGTGGCTGAAAATTCCTGAGTCCCTAAATGACATTTCAGAAGTGTGTGCCAGGAGTTACTGGGAGTAGCGGCAGAGATTATACAGGCAAGAGCTAGTGGGATGCAGGGACACTGTGGAAGTAGGAACAGCTCTGAGCTGAGTACCCTTCCTGACAGTTACTAACTGATGGGTCAAGAAGAAACAAAAGAAAACAACAACAAAGAGAACAATGGTAAGGGGGTTGTATATTTTATAATTAAACAACAATAAGAGACCAAAAATTCTCAAAGTAGTGCTAAAACCCTACATCACTCTTAAGGATAGTAGAACATTATCTTTGTTCTTTAACATCCAAGTCATCTCCCTTAACTGTCCAATGGAATCAATAAACCCTTAGAACCTCCACTTAGCTTAACAATAAAGATAATAATAGCTATTGAACTGTATTCTGATTAAAAATTAAATGAGACAATATATGTGAAAAAGCAGCAAAATATCCAACATATAGTGGATGAACAATATCTAGTAGGTTTTCTTTTTAATTAATCACCGTTTGAGAAAAACAATTAAAAACCCATTAAGGAGATACAGCTTTTGTCCTTAAATACAAAGGAAAGCCTATACCTGCACACTTCTATATAGGTAGGTAGATAAGTAGGTAGGTAAGAAGGCATACGGAGAAAGAGATAGAAAGATAGGGAGATGTTTAAATGCATTTTATGAAACTGGAAGGATGCCAACTAAATTACATTCTAGTTTGTTTTATCTTTCATGACCCAAGAGTAAATGACCATCTTAGAGACTCTGTTTAGGGTAAATTCTGCTACTCACAGATGCTCCAATGCATCCAAACCAGTGAAGGCTTTTTTAGTAATAGATCGAATCCGATTTCCCTGTAGTATCCTAGGGAAAAAAATTACATTGAAACAGTTAATTTAAAAAGCCATTTTGGGGATGGAACTCTCATAAACACGACTGCTTTTTAAATTATGGGTAAACAGTTCCATTTTCTTCAATTAAAGAACATATCCTGTAAAAACCTGCCCGTGCCATCTATTTCAATAACATAGTTCAATATGGTTTTCAAAGCATTCAACAAAGAGCCCAACAAAAATAGGCATTCAAAGAGTTGCTCTGCTGATGAAGTTAAATCATTGTTTTTCAGAGTCCTTTTAGGAATAGGTAGAGACTTTATTTCAAGTAAACTGTCTCAGAACACTAACAAAGCAGGTTGATAGTGAATGCTTTCTCCTTCCCCTTCTTCTCTGTGGATACCTTCATTCACAGGAGTTTAGGACTAGAGGGAGCTCAATTTGAAAACTGCTGGCTTAAAACATGTAATTTGACCATCTGCAAGACCATTTTATGGCTAATTATAAGGTGTTTTCATCCTGTTTTGCTTGTAACCTACCACAGCACTATCAGTGGCTACTAGATTACTTCATTAAAAAAATTCCTGCGAGGACAGTACAACACTGAAGATTTTAAAATGTGGAAGTGCATGCACTAACTTTTACACAAGGATAATTCGACAAGTCTAGGCCCTCAGCAGAGTTGAAAATTATTAAGTGGATTTTAAAGTAAATTACACACATTAAAGTGTTGAATAACACTTTCACCTAAGGAAGAAAAAGCTGATAATATACATCCCGCCTAACAGCACGCATCTGGGGAGAGGATAAAGGGTAGTAACCACATTAAGCACCGATTTCCAATCTCTTCATGATATCAACTTGTATAGCTGACTTCAGTCAAGACAAAGTTTTTAAATCAATGAGTAAGCTAAATTATGAGGCAATTCATACTCACAGCCGCCTGAGTTTGTCAAGCCCAGAGAAAGCGCCATTCATGTCTTCAATAGTCCAGGAAATTTCATTGTTCTTCAGATCTCTAGTTTTAAAAGAAGCATTCCCCTTACAGTGATATGCTCAGAAAGCCTAATATGACCACCTGTGTGGCATATCATTTGTAAAACATTTCTCATAATTCCCCCCATTATCTCCACCTCTTTCAAAATAACAGAAAACTCTTATTTCTTCAACTTATTTCTTACACCCTGCCTGATTCCTTCAACAACATTTTAAGTTTTTTCCTAAAATCAGAAAAAGTTGACGCTGGCCCTATTAATTCCTCTATCAAGATGACTACATTCTGAAAGATCTGAACAGTCTGAAAAATACATTAAACTTTAAAACCACTGTTCCAACCACACATGCAGAAGTTTGCCAAAGCATACAGCATGTCTTTCAATTATGTAATGCTTCAAATAGTGAACAGAGCAAAGGTTTCTGACAGAGCAAAAAATCAAAAGCCTACTGAACATCCTTAAATTACCATTTGAGAAATTTTTCAAAGGTCAATTAATTCAACTCCCTTTTCTTTCTCTTAGGACAGAGATCAGGTTGAGGATATAACTGGCATGATAAACGGCATCTTCCTTCACTGCCCTTTGTAGACCTTTTTACTCCAAGTCGTTTTTAATCTGCATTTTATAAAGAAAAAAATTGGTGGACTTAACACTTGTTTCCCTCTTACACAGTTACCAACTTCCTGGAGACCCTGAGAAGGCTAACTGTAATCACCAAAACAAACTGATCACTGTCCTTTTCAGCCCTTTACAAAACGCATATGGATGAAATGGATCCATTTTAATCAAACTGATCTGGGAAAGATTAAGACACTACCTCTGAGGCTGCACACATTTCCCTGACAACAAAGGAAATCTGCTAGGAGAAAAGTGGGCACATTTAGGAACCAATTAGGTTCATGTACTGACAGCAAAATGTGTAACTTACAAAGTCTTTAAACTGGAAAGCCCGCGGAAGGCACAATCAGCAATGTAGCTGACTTTGTTGTTCCCAATGTGCAGTGTATTCAGTAAGCTCAGGCCAAGGAAGCTTGAATCATCTAACCTTGATAAGTGATTGAAAGTTAGGTCCCTGTAAAGAAAAAAGAGAAAAACAACAAGAGCTTTTAGTTTTCAATTCAACACAATGATTCATTTTCCAAAAGACAGGTACTGTATGAGTTACACTAATCCTTACTTTTAAATTCTGCTTTAATAATACCCAAGTAAATATTTCTAATCTCAGTAATTAAAAAAAATACATTTTCTTTACTTGAAAATAACCATCATTGCTTTTGCCAATGTGACAAAGGACTGCAACAGCAGAATTGGCTTCAACTTATCACAAAAAATAAGACTAGGTTGCATGTGAAAAAAGCTGTCACCTTGGAAACTTTGTTATGAAAATTTCACAGATCAGTGGTAAGAAGCTCATGCCCTGGCATGATCCCTGCTCTCAAACCTGAGGAGAATAAAAGGCAACTCACAGCTCACTAAGCTTCTGGCAGAACTCCCAGGCATCAGGGCTGATCCTGTTGATGGCATTTTGGCTGAGATGAAGTTCCTGCAGCATCAGCAAGCCGTAAAGCCAGCCTTTGGTAATCTCTGTTAGGTTGTTATGGTCCAGCTGCCTACATTTACAGTAAGAATCAAAAGCAGGATCAAAGCTTCATTATCTAGTCTCTTCAAAGGGGACATATGATTACAACCTATTACATATTCCTAATGTTATTAGATGATCAGCTTTTGTTATATGAAGACACCAGCAAAGAAAAAAAAAAAACTATATATTCTTTTAATTTAGGTGCTTACAAATTTATGTACTTAGAAATTCTCGATCATATTACCTGAATCAAAACTGAATACTAAACTATAAATAAGATTGCTGATTTATGAGATTTTAACATAGGATTGCAAATAAGACCTACTGAATGTACACTAGCATTCTATGATCATACTACCTGAGTAGGGACTGTGATAAACAACACTTACAAAATTTCCATGTTGCTCAGCCCCCAGAAAGCTCCATCCATAAGTTTCATGACTCCATTTCTTTGCATTTTCAGAGACTTCAGAGCACCAAGCCCTTGGAATGTCAGCCCATCTATGTTTTTAATCTTGTTTCGGTTCAATTCACTGCATTGAGTATCACAAGAGTTAGCTTATATGACAATTAAATTCTGGAGGTAGTAATAAAATGTGTCATTACTACAATATAGTTAAACCAGTCAGTGTTCAATTACGTAGAGTGTTTTCAGTTTCTAAACATTTTTTTTTTTTTTGAGACGAAGTTTCGCTCTTGTTACCCAGGCTGGCACAACCCAGGCTGGCAACGGCACAATCTCGGCTCCCAGCAACCTCCACCTCCTGGGTTCAGGCAATTCTCCTGCCTCAGCCTCCCGAGTAGCTGGGACTACAGGCACGCGCCACCATGCTGAGCTAATTTTTATATTTTTAGTAGAGACAGGGTTTCACCATGTTGAGCAGGATGGTCTCGATCTCTTGACCTCGTGATCCACCCGCCTCAGTCTCCCAAAGTGCTGGGATTACAGGCGTGAGCCACCAAGCCCGGCCCTCCAAACATTTTTATTGCAAAGAATTTCAATTCGTTAAGCAGAAAGTGAATTTCCTACTGAAATGTGTCACGTGTTTTTGTAATAATAAAATACTGAAACTAGACTGCACTTTAATTTCTAAAGTCCTGTCCACTCAGTATAGACACAAACTAAGATTTGTTTTTAAACAATCCAGAATGAGATTATTAAATGTTATACTAAAACATGAAGTTTATCCTGTACAATCTGTTTACAAGTTTGTTACGATTATTCACCATTCTTTTTAGGTTTAATACTTTCTCTTTAAAGCAGTTCTCAGCCTTGGTTGCACACTGGACCCAACCTGGGAGTTTTAAAAATTTCTGAAGCCTAGATCTTACTCCCAGAGGTCCTATTATAATTGATCTAGGGTGTGGCCTGGGCAGCAAGATTTTTAAAAGCTCCCCAAGTGTTTGTAATGTGCAGCCAAGGTTGCACTATTGCAGGAGTCTGTTCACAGATTGTTCTACCATTATTAACGAGACAGATCTTTACAGCCACTTAAGCTATCAGAGCCTGCTGGAATTGCTGGTATTATTCTCATAAACCACAGCTGTTGAGAGACCCCGGATTTCTTCAGTGCCACAATGGCACTTTTGTACTGGTGTTGTTCAACGATTAGGCTGTTCGCTCTCTCAGTAACAATCTAACGTGTCTTGTCAAGCAGCAGCTGGCACTAGGTGACGTTTGAGGCTCTTTCCAATTTAGAGATTTTACAGCTCCAACTATCAAAGGAAAGGCGGCTACATCCTTGTCCCTAAACTCCTTTTGCCACATTGTAGATTGTAAGCAGTAGACACCAAGGGTTTGGAGGAGGTGAGAAACAGTATCTAAGAGGACATTTTACTTACAGGTGTTGCAGCTGGGGCAGTTTAAACATCTTGGGTGGGATAGCTGAGATTCGGTTCCTGTTCAGCTTTAACACAAGGAGAGTGTTGGCCAAACTGTCAAAATACCCAGGTTCCATTGACGTGACTCGGTTGCTGTTGAGATACCTGTTGAAAGTTTAAAGATGAGCTTCGCCTTCTGATTCATTTGCACATTAAAGTGGAGGCCATCTCTGTATTATTAAAGAGTCTCCAGGGAACCTAATCATCAGTGGAAACTTAAAATAATTACTCTTTAGGTCCTCAAGGACAGATATTGATTAAGATTCACACGTACTGCTGGGAAAAGAGTGATTAAATATATGATGGTTGCAAACATTTTTTTATAAATATCCACTTTTTATGACATTCATTTATTAATAAAACATAGCAATGGTCTGATTTTGATTGTTTTAAAAATGTGCACTTTTCATACTACCTTTTTTCTAATAAAAAATGTGTAATTCTCTGTAACCTAAAAATGTAAGAATAAACGGAAGATTTCATTCAAGCTTACAGCAAATTCCAAGTCAATAAATTATACTTTGGATCCATCAGTTATACTTTGGATTATACAATAAATTATACTTTGGATCCGTCCATTATTATTTTTTCATTATAATATTTTCATTACAGGTGAAAGTTTTTGCTAAAGAAAACTTCACTTACAGATATTTGAGCTGGAGGGGTGGAAATGCAGTTTTGAGCTCTGAAATATTGTTGCTGCTAAGGTCCAAAGTTTCAAGGGATTGAAACTCTTTCAGATGTTCAGGTAGTATTTCAACAATTCTGTTTCCAGCCCTAGAATTAAAAAAAAGCACAGTTAGCAAGGTTAATAGTGCAACAATCTGAAAGAAGAAAAATACTTTCTACTCCTGACTGGGGTTCTTGGGAAATATGAAACTGACTAATCTAAACAGTACTTTTAAAAGTTGAAAAGCAATACCAAATTATAAATCATAATATTCAAATACATGAAAAATATTTCTGTGTAAATCTGGGGTACTGCTTAGCAGTTGTGGCTGTCTGAATGCTATGCATTTAAAGACAACAGTTTGATCTTCTTTATGCTATTTTTCACTTTTGAAAAAAATCTATTTTTATTTATTGTTATGTTTTGGAGACAGGATCTCACTCTGGCACCCAGGCTAGAGTGCAGTGGCTTACTCATAGCTCACAGCAGCTCAAACCCCTGAGCTCAAGGGATACTCCTGCCTCAGCCTCCAAGTAGCTAAGGCTATAGGTGAGTGCCACTTCACCTCACTAAGTTTTGTACAGTGAGGGTTTCACTATGTCGTCTAGGCTGGTCTCAACTCCTGGCCTCAGGCAATCCTCCAGCCTCATCCTCCAAAAGTGCTAGGATTACAGTTGTGAGCCACCACACCTCGCTATTTTTCTGAACAGCTCTTCTCCCTTTTCCCCTTATTAGATGGTATAGGAAATGCACAACACCAATGTGGCACACCTGACACTGATAAGTTAATTCCCTATTCCTTCTTCTTGATTCCTAATCTATTTCTAATTCTTCTCTTAAAAAGTGCCCATATGACAGGTGCCATTGAATTTAAAATACTTGTCAGATTGAGATTTTTTCGAATCATGCGAGAGAAATCCACTTTTCTTTAAGAAACAGCAAGTTTCAAGGAACTGCCACAGTCTTCAATAGCAGTGAATATGCCCCAGGGCTTTCAATAGTAAAAAGTATCACATAAGAGCACTCCAGTTTGAATAATCCCTTGGCATAATTAGATCAAAACATGTTTTACATTAAAAGTCTTAAACATCAGACCGTGATGTCCAGTATGGAAGTCACTAGCCACAAGAGGCTCTTTACATTTAAATTAATTCAAATTAAATGCTAATTTAGCTCCTTAGTCACAGTAGCCACATTTCCAGTGCTCAATAGCCATATACTCCTGGTAGCTATCAAATGGTACAGCACACATACAGAATGCTTCTACCAATTGTGTAAAGTTCTGTTGGTGTTACACTGAACAAATGGAAAGGAACAAAAACAGGGAGAAAAAGAGGTCATTCCAAACCTCTTAAAAAGTCATCAATACAGTAACTCCTGAAGGAAAATGCAGCATTAAATGACAATTTTGTCAGAAAACAGCAATCAAACAGATGTGCAAGCTATCTTAATTGTCATAGTAGATCAGGTAGTTTGGACTTTTTTAGACCAGCTTTTGGCGGGGGAAAATAACGGCAAGGTAGAAAGCATACCTACAAATCTTAGAAAGGTCTCCTCTTTACAATGCAAGGAACAGTGAAGCAATCTGAATGCTCTAAACAGAATTCTGTCTTATACAAGTCACACACTGGTGTTTGTACAGGATCTGAAGTTAATCTTCAATTGAGAAGAAAACCTACAAAATATACTTTGTGTATTTTTTTTTGTACCCAAAACTGGATTTCTATGGTGTTCTTAGTGTGTTAAGCTCTTCTGCATTATTATAACTCATCAGTCTCTCACTATCTCAGGAGGTTCCCAAGTGAGGTGTACCTCTTACATGTTTTCACAAAATCCTGTGCTGCATGCTCACATAGCACTTACACCACTGGTCTTCTCTGCCATCCTGAGATATTCTTAGAAGCAGAATTCTCTATCACTCCTAGAATGTGTATAAAATCCAATAATGCTGAGGATCGATTAAGTGCCAAGCCCTATGCTCAACACTTTTCATAGAGTATGCCCTTTAATCATAGTAAAATTTCTCTGGTACAGACATTCCAAAACATTTTAAAACTAGGCTTTTCACCTAACAAGTTCAAGCATTCCCGAGCCAACTCAAAGAATAAGCCCGGACTGTTCCTAAAGCAATCCCTTAAGGCTTCTTTCATAGAATACAGAGTATGAAAGATATTCTGGCATTTAATTTCTCATACAGATGGGAACCTCCCTTGAAAAGGCTGCTACTTCCCACCTTGCAAAAATGCTGAACTTCTGGTTTTAAACTGATCTGGGAATCTACTCTGGCTCACTGAGCCATCATCATGCCAACACTAAGAATGTACCAGAACGGAGCCCCAGGGCCTGCACGAGTTCAGCATCTACCAGAGTTAAGATGGCTGACTTCCTGTCAGGTGCCATCTTCTTCACAAGAGAATAATAAAGGGAGAAAACAGGCTATACATTTTATCTTTAAACAACAACTTAAGAAAGCTTCTCGAAATATTGTTAAAACCCTTCTGCACAGTATTTTTACGGACTGTGGGTGGACTGTCTTTTTCCAACTTTAAAGTCCAAGTCATCAGAAAATCTAATGTCAGGTAACTAGCACAGACAATGCGTATCTTAAGAGTTGAACTTTATGATGATAATAAAGTTTAAAAACAAGAGACAATCCAGCAGTCCTATGTACAAGTCACAAATGAATCTCAAGCCCTTCAGATTCCCACAAAGTTTAACAGACTTTTGTTTAGAGTCAAGTCAGCCATGACCTCTGCTTTTGACCATTTCCCACATCTGGATTCGCCTGTGTATAAACTCCTTGATCTAGCTGTGAGGTACAGGGTAATGCAAGTGAGACAATTAGTCAATTCCTAGGTCCCGGAGATGGATTCCATCCAAGAGACAAGCCACAAGGCCTTAGGGTCAGGGTGTGTGGGTTAAATAAAACCACACTGCTCTAGGGGACAAAAGTTTTCTCTTAAATGCATAATCCAAATGTTTGCATTAGCAGGATGTCCTCCTACAAACACTGCAGTCGCTCTCAAGTGCCCCTTTCTCTATCCCCTCCCCCATCCCTAGCCCTATCTCCCTTCAAACTCTGCATCTGGTTTTGGTCCCCAGGCTGTCTGCAGCAAGCAAAGCTACATTTGTATTTACCAACAACAAAAACAGAACACTCAGCTATGGATGTGTGCAGTAAATAAAGCAAATTAGTTTGGGGGCTAGGGAGCCCCACAGGTGTCTATCATGTTGGTCAAATAAGGCTACAAGTTAGATAACAGACCATACAATCTTTGGTTTATATATTCGTTTGTTTATAAGGTAATTATGAACAAGGTATTAAAACTGCCAATTACTTGAGTGACGAATAAAATTTTCCTTGCAGTAAAAGTATGTTCCAGCCAAAGCCAGCAATTTCCTGAACTGCACACCTCCTAAACTGCAGTGTGAAAGTGCTCAGTTATAGATGGAGTGTGCACAGTGCTGTCTTTGTCAGCACCACTTCTTAGCACAAAAATCCCTTACAACTGCCAGAATAATAGTCCCTGTATCACAAAAATGTAAATCTGTCCTAATGGAACTGAATTAAATCCAAATACCCACTTCTTATTAGCTCTCAGACTAACTGGCAAATAACCACCTGATATATACCATACCAATTTAAAACAAAACAAAAAACAAAACAAAAACTTGCTTTGTATCATGAAGAGGGCTAAAAATGGGAGACAACTACCTTAAAAAACTAAATTAAAAAACCTTTTTTATCATCTAAAACCCTCAAAAAAAAAAACATATTTCACACAAATGGTCAAAAATATCTACTTTTAGAAGACAAAGATTCAACTCAACTCCAGCTTTAATTTTTCTCCAAATAGGAATAAATGCCAAACTTGATCAACACATTAAAAGGCACTGTAGTTACTTAATATTTCTGGCAGGAAATGTGCAATGCTTACACAAAAATAAAACTCTGAATACCTTTTTCCATTACTTAATGTGGAAATACCATCTTTCCATTGTTCAAAATTCACAAAATGAACTGAAAATATTGGAAGGTGTTTCAGCCTCATACAAATCCATCTTACAGACTAGGAATATTCTGGTCTTCTATGTTTTTTGATAGTACAGGGAGTTCCACAGTTAAATAATTTCTGAAGTGAAGTATAATTAGTTCCTTGTGGACACACAGACCTGGGGACTTGGGCTGGTCAGGAACACCAGATGGTTCCCTCAGGCTTTTAAGAGGCCACTGGAAAAACAGGAGTCCCAGGTATTTCGGCCTCAGCTTCTTGGGTCCAATGAAAATGGTTTCATTTTGTTGCCAATTTCACTTTTCAGCCATCTTTGCCAAATACCTTTAAAATGCAGAGGCAAACATGGCTTACCATTTTCATCTGATGTTACGTAACTCTGAGAGTGCTGGAGTGCTTCATGAATAAGATGGACATGCCCCTTGACCGCACAGAGCTTAAAGTCTAGTGGGGAGAGCAGCGGGCAATACAGGGAGCCGTCCACAGTGTGGTAAGTGCAGCGACAGGAAAGAAGAGTGGGCAGTGGAAGCAGTGGACAGACTTCTCTACAGTAGTAGAGAGAGTGTTGGGGATCAGCAAAACCTCCCAAAGAAAGGGAAGAAACAGCCACACTGAGATCTGTGGGATGAGTTAGCTCAGCAATGGACAGAAGCAGCTAGTGCTCCAAGCAGAGGCAAAGACTTGGGCAGGTGAGAGCAGACCAAGTCTTCCTTTGAGGAAATGAAGGAATGCTTCATGGTGGAGTACAGAGTGCATGGGTGGAGACTGGAGAAAAAAGAGGCTCAAGAGTAAGGCCACTGGATGATGAGAGCAGTCAAGTTGGGCCCTGAAACCACGTCAGGTATTTGGCCTTTATCTCAAGATCAACTGTGGGGAGGGGGCCAGAGGATGTTGAATGACAGGGTGACAATATCACATGTACATTGTAGAATGGCTACTCTGGTGGCTGTGGGTAGAAAGACTGGGAGGAGGAGGGCAAGATCAGGTGCAAGGGTACCAGCAGGAGGCTCCTACTCCATGCAGGACAGATGACAGCATGACGATGGGCTACCTCAATGCCCAGTTGGGGGGTGAGGCACCACACTTCCTCTGGT